AATTATATAATGTCAAACTAGTATAATCTTGATATGAATGATTTGAAGGTAAACTTGGTTATTATGTAATAAAAATGAAAATAAGAATCTTTCATTAATGTTTTATTTTTTTAGAGATTAATTGTTAAGTAATCATTTTGAGCATTTAAATAATCCATTATATAAAAATCTGGAGAATTTTAAATATACTCTAAATATTTAAATACTGCATAAATATCAAGCTTTAACACACATCTTTTAATAAATTAGCCAAATAAACATTTCACATATACTAATGCTAAACTATTAAAGCTAATGCTAGATCTTCCAAAAATGATAATAGAAATGATTTTGGACTGTGCATTTTTAATTCAAAACTGGACACAGGTACAATGATTACATAAAAACCTCAACAATGACAGCTTTCAACACTAAGTATTTTTTTCAATTTTACACTAATCTTTGCAAAGGCTCTATCTGAGGACAACAATAGATATAGACTCACCAATAAAACTTGACAGTGGTAATCTATCAATTTATCAGATATGCCAAACTAACTTTTTAAATTAATCAAATTCACAATTTTATATTTTCCTAATTGTATAGTTGCATGTGATAAAAAAATTTCAATTTCATTAACTATAAGGCTATAAAAAATAAACTTTTCCCAACATTTAAAGTCATTTTGGGGACTTCCCTGGCAGTCCATTGGTTAAGACTCCACACTCCCAATGCACGGGGTTACGGGTTTGATCCCTGGTCAGGGAATTAAGAATTACTGCATGCCACACAGCATGGCCAAAAAAAAAAAAAAAAAAAAAAAAAGATAAAGTCATTTTGATGAAAATAAGAAGAGTCTTTAATACTCATATTTTATAATATTGACTGATTTAATTGTAACTAAGGTGCTAAATTTTAGATACTTAGGATAACTCCCTAAGAATTATACCAAAACCTTGTTCATTTCAATCACACTATTTACTCACTATTCTTAACACAAAATTGTTATAAAAAGTTATGTATATATTGACAAAAAACTATTAAAATGTAGCAACATTTTTCTCTATGCTTCAAGACTTCTTATAAACTATGCAAATTAATATTGCTGATATTTTAAGATGATCTTTTAAACTATACCCCTCAACATTTTTTTAAAAAAGGAACAGTGATTAATCATACAATTTTCATCCTGCTATATAAAACTATTTTCTCCTACAAAATGTCTGCCCCCCAAGGTAAAAAACAAACAAAACAAGAAACAAACAGACCTCCTTAAAAGCAGTCTTTATAATCCAACAGTCAAAGTTTCTCTTAGCTTAAGGGAGAGGACATGAGTCCTGTACATTAACTATTCTGCCCTGATACAGGACTTGCTTCTACCAAAACAGAATTCTAGGAAGGAATATTAGCTCTCTATGGCCATTTTACCTTGCTAACAATTTAGAGGACTAAAATGAAGACTCTAATAGTAGTTTTGACAGGTAGGAAATGTAAAGGCTCTCCATCCCAAACTAAATAGTGATTACATTAAAAAAATTGGCACTGTCAGGTCTTCCCTGCTGGTGCAGTGGTTGAGAGTCCGCCTGCCAATGCAGGGGACACGGGTTCGTGCCCCGGTCCGGGAGGATCCCACATGCCGCAGAGCGGCTGGGCCTGTGAGCCATGGCCGCTGAGCCTGCGCGCCTGGAGCCTGAGCTCCGCTAAGGGAGAGGCCACAGCAGTGAGAGGCCCGCGTACCGCAAAAAAAAAAAAAAAAAAAAAAAAAAAAAAAATTGGCACTGTCAAATCAGGCAGAGATTAAACTGAAGTGGAAAAGTACCTATTATAGATACTTTAAATCTTCTAAGAGAAAATCAAATAATTACGCCTTACCACCTACCAAAGACATTGGTTAAAAAAAAAAAAAGTTACAAGGCGCTATATTGCCTTCCCTTCTGTAACTAAAATGGCTGTCAAATATATTAATCCTATTTATTATGAAATTATTTTTTAAATTTATTCTTTCTTTAATACTAAAGTAAAATACATTTTGGAAATCTGCATGGAATGTTCCCAACAGGTTGGTTCTTTATTTTTAGCAGGGTCTGAGTTATATAGTTTTACTCATTATTTCAAATACATGAAAAGACATCATCCCCCAAAATACAAAAACAAATCTGGTCTTGTGTTAAATTAAATAATGATCTCAACCATTTAATATAAAACAACATACTTTTTTGGGGGGTATGTTAACAAGGCAAAATAGAAGTTGTTTATAGGAGGAAAAGGATTTAATGACTAAGATATGTCTTTTGTGGAATACCATTCACCCTTATGTCCCTCTTTCACCAGTAATGTCTTATCTGCTCTAATCCCTTCAAGATTCAAGTTCAGTACTACAAACGCAGAGATTTTCTAGTTTTCAGCATAAATTTTTCTTTTAACATTGCTTTCAGAATGCTTTAAACAATTAGTTTTACAACTATTATCTCAAATATATGTTTAAAATTCACAGTACAGCCCATATTCAATAAGGCCATAGCTTTTACATCTTTTTGGATCACAGACCATTTAATATTTTAATAAGAACTCTCTCCAGAAAAATTAAAAATTACATATCCAGAGTTTTGCAAGTAGTACAGGGGTTTCAAGGCTCCACTGACAACTGTTTAGTATAAAAACCCTTGTCTGAAAAGGATGAAATCAAACAATAGGTTTAGATTTCAAAGGTTTAATTTTTTTTGCGGGGGGGGGGGCCGTGCTGCGCAGCTTACAGGATACTAGTTCCCCAACCAGGGATTGAACCCAGGCCCTCCGCAGTGAAAGCGCAGAGTTCTAACCACTGGACCACCAGGGAATTCTCTCAAAGGTTTAATATTTTTAAAAATAGAGAATTAGGGACTTCCCTGCCAGTCCAGTGGTTAAGACTTTGAGCTCCCACTGTAGGGGAGCTCCCTACAGCTCCCACTATAGTTCCCACTGTCCCTGGTCAGGGAACTAAGATCCCACATGCTGTGCTGCATGGCCAAAAAAATTAATTAAAAAAATTTTTTTTAATAAAAATAAAAAATAGAGAAATCTATTTCAGGTGTTGACCAAATTTTTTATGATTGATCAGGCAAAATTAAAATATTTACAAAGGAGTACCACGCAGCTTGCGGGATCTTCCCCGACCAGGGATTGAACCCAGGCGACCACTGTGAAAGCCCAGAATCCTAACCACTAGGCAACCAGGGAAGTCCAAGGAGGGAGTTTTTAGTTTTAGTCTCAGCTAATCTTAGCTAATCTTATAAGAGCTTTTCAAACTCATCTTTTGATTTAAATGGGTTGCAACCAATGTGCAAATGGAAATACTGATATAAAGAGATGTATATATATATATATATATATATATTTATAAACATATATATGTATTTATATTCAATATTAGCCAGTAAATATATAATTCATTAACTGGAGGAGTTAATGTTCATACTTGAGGGTAGAGTTTATCAGGATCTGTCAGTAAGGAAAAACACACACAAAAATAGGCAGTGTTTTCTAGCAGATTTACAACAAACAGATCCTCACATTCAGGTAGATCATTTATAAGATGCCATCAGTGATCAGTGTATGCAACATTGATATTAACAAGTCATTTTTTTGGCAAACCTTACAAGCATGTATCCAAATAACCAAATGACTACAATTCAAAGCAAGTGTTCATTTCTAGAGCAAGTGTAATTAATGGAATGGCTTTCACCTTACCGTTAAGGCTTAAAATACATTTTAAAACTTCAAGTCATCAATGATTTATAAACTTAAAGTACGTTTGAAAGTATGTATAATTTTAATAATATGGGGAAAAGATAAAGGTAATTATGGCAATGTGAGCTTCTTAATCCAAAAGTTAAAAATCAAAATACAGGGCTGCCCTGGTGGCACAGTGGTTGAGAGTCCGCCTGCCGACACAGGGGACACGGGTTCGTGCCCCGGTCCGGGAAGATCCCACGTGCCGCGGAGCGGCTGGGCCCATGAGCCATGGCCGCTGAGCCTGCGCGTCCGGAGCCTGTGCTCCGCAACAGGAGAGGCCACAACAGTGAGAGGCCCGCGTACCGCAAAAAAAAAAAAAAATTAAAATACATTTCACATATGAGAGTTAGTAGGTTTTCTTTATTCATGTAAATATTTTGATTATAATACATGACAAAGGACAACACACGTGACAAAGTACTGTAGTCTATGGTTTGGTGTGTCTCTAGGACGATTTTCCAGGTGATTCTTCAGGATCTGACAGCGATGCCCAACACAGGCTTTCCAATGGCAATGCATGAGTTCTAGAAGCCACTGCCTCTATCTTTCTTCAGATGCTGAGTGCCATTTTCTCCCACCCATTTTATCCTCCATTACTTATAAAAACCCCACTCTAAAATTCAACCTATGTTATAAAATTAACAAAATCAAACATTAGTAAGTATTTTCCCACAAAGATAATAATTATTAAATAAGAGTCAACTGATATGGGGACATATGTATAACTGATTCACTTTTGTTATAAAGCAGAAACTAATACACCATTGTAAAGCAATTATACTCCAATAAAGATGTTAAAAAAAAATAAATAAGAGTCAACTTAATATCTCTTTTTCTCTAACTTTTGAAGGCTTTATGTAATCTCTAAAGAGTCCGAGTACCATACAACACAAAATATGCAAAGAACCTTATTACCAGGTACACATAATATGTTGGAAATTGCTAAAGTACTCAAAAGCTTAATTCTCCTGGGATAGCAATTCTCCACTAGAAACTACAGTTTACAAACAGAAGGTTGTGTTTTAATAAGAGGAAACATAGTACCTGATTCCGTATAATTGTGAGAGCTTTTCTCATTAGTACAGTGCTTAATTAAGAAATCTTTTTCCAACACATTATTTGTCAAAGGCACAAAACGTCTTTGTCTCTCTCTTCAAAACAGTTTCTAAAATTACACTATTATTCATTTAAATTTTTCTTAATCAGTAAGTTTTACTGTTTTTCTCTCAATAATAAAAAGAAAACTACTTGAAGAAAAACGTTTAATTTTTATTTTCAAAACTTTGCCATGAACATACATACAACATTAAATTTGAACTACTTGTGAGCTGTCCATGTGCCATGAAGCACTTATGACAAAAAACCATATGTAGGCTTTATGGTAAAATTAACAAGGAATCAAAATATCTTCCAAAAGGGGGAAGGGGGAGGGGAACCAATAAAAGTCATAGCTTTCATTTTATAAAAAATAGTTTGAATAATTTTCCTATAAGTCTTTATTGCTTACAAAAGCAGGAAATACATTTAAAATAGTCTTTTTAACACAGATTCATTAGCACAATGTGGTTATGGTCAGAACAATTAAAACTAAAATGGTTTTTCAGTAGTTTATATTCTCTTCTCAACAAATTCCACAAAAAATTTAACCAATTTACAATTCAAAATAAGATTTAACTGCCAACAAGGCCAAACTAGTTGTAGTTAGTACCTGAATATCAAGCTCTGTTCCATTTAATATATTTTACCAAACATTTTAATATAGCTCAATGATAGGTACTGATAACAATACTTGACTTCATGGTTGCCACCCATGACTACTGCATTGCAGCTTAAAACATGTTTTGGTCAGTAAATTAAAAAGACATAAATCAAATAACAAGATCAGAAAAGTTGTTTTAGTACCAATTTCCTGACCTTAAGTAAACTTTAAATACATTGACAAGGCAAGGAAAAGTATATTTAAATATACAGAGAGGTCTCTATATTTTTAACCATTTGACATTTTATATTAATAATTTCCTGTTTAAAATAATATTTTATACTCCTGTACACTGATTATCATAACTCTCTGAGTTAAAACTAAACTAGAGTTACCTTTCTAGAATGTCCAGTAGTGAATGCATTACTTGCTTCTTTTGCACTTCCATGAAGATGGTCCTTCATCCTGTAACTTTTTAAGTTTTGGACCAAGACAGAACCACCAACCAAATCCAATAAAAACACAAATAATGGACTCCACATAATAACCATCCAGTGCTGTAACACATGAGCCACCGAGTTTTTTGCAAAGCTGTAAAAATAAAATTATAATATCAATAAATACTCCACAATTTCAAAATGGAAGTATTCAGCAATTTACATGTTTCTACTTTGTTATTTAAAGGATTAATCAAAATATACTTTTGTTAAAACATTTCATTCACTCCAAGTGACAAAACAAGTTACTGCATCTTAATCTCTCTAATGCTACTAACAGTATTAAAAACAATTTTCAGCTCTTGCTGTAAACAATATTCATTTTCAAGATACAGCTTTTCATATTTGGAAATGTGAGGAAATTTCCAAGGAATTTACTCTAGAAGTGGGTTATTGTTACTTTGAAATAATTTATCAACAAACTACTAACCATTCAGTTTTACCACCACTTGTTATATGAATAGCCCATGGAACTTTCCTTCTTATATCATTATATACCTTAGCTATTAATCATGCATTTATTAAATGCCTAGTGTATAAGGACAATGGTACATAAGGTGAAGGAGAGAGCGACTGCTCCTCCCTTGCTGAGAAGCAACTTCAAGTGAGCTTCACTTACTGATGTGAGTGTGTTTATACCCTCAGTTATGATGGGAAAGAAAAAACTATTAGAAACTATGGGCAGATACGATTTTAAAAAGATGTAGTACTTCTAGAGGCAAAAACGAGGAAATTAATATCTTAATATTACCTTAATATTATCTAAAATTGCAACATACTTACCTCAACAGCATCATGTGTTCGGCAATTCTGGTTTGATGCTCCTACACCCTCTTTCACTGTGAGGGGATCTACCAGCCAAAGAGCTACCGTAGAAGGCCAGTTTCCTCCCAGGTTGGACACAGTATTTAAAAGGGTCATATATGTTCCGCCAATAAGTGGATCACTAACCTTCGCATTGAAAGCCATTATGGAAACATACATGCTATACAATGTAACCTACAGGGAAAATGTAAAACATCTTCAGTACAATTAGACTTTAAAAAGCTATGGTCTAAATTAAGAACATTGAAAACATAAACCAGAAAATTAATTTTCATGACTCTTATTCAACTCAATCAACAAACATTTATTGAGCACCTACTACAAGCCAGGCTTTAACGTCTGGTCATGGCAATACAAAGATGAATAAGACACAGTCCCTCTGTGCCCTTGAAGAATTTATTCTAAGCTTGGGAAAATAGGGAATAAGTAATTATGATGAAATGTGGTAAGTACTGAAAAAAGAAGTACACACATTGTGCTATCAGAGCCTAAATATATGGGAGATTAATTTTATCACAAGTAGTCAAGGAAGGCTCAACTGAGAATGACAGATGACGTAGTATTGAAAGATCCATATAGTAATAAGCAAAACACTATATTTATACTATACCTAAATATATTATATGTGTGTATAGTATATATGTATTATACATATAAGCACTCAAATATTCAAAGGGAATATGAATATATAATTATATGTATATAATTTTCTTATATATAATTCAAAATTTATGTGACAAACTAAAGAGAAAAATCTCCTTGAGAGGCAAGAATTAACCCTTCATTTAGGAACATGAAAACAACCCATGTTTCTAAAACAGAATTCCTTTGAATGCTGTTCCATGGGATGTTCATAGAAAAAGGAGTTCCAAAGTCAAATAAGACTGAGAAACACTAAGTTACACAAAATTAGACTGTAGGCCTCCTGAAAGCCTTTAGAATATAAACTTAAGGGCAGGGATTCTGGCATGATTTATTCACTGTTTTATTTTAGTACTTACAATGGTTCCTGGCATGGAATAGGTGTATTCACTTAATATTTGCTGAAGGAATGATTAAGATGTTACATAAAGAGGGGTTATGTCATATGTCATTTCTCAAATTTACTTGGCCTTGTAATTTTGTTACCACAAAGCATCTGGTTTTCTGAGTTTCGATGACTACACTTTGGAAAATTCTCTAATGAAATCCAAAGCCAAACAAATGATTTTTGGACAACTACATCATATTTTTCTTTACTTACTCAAGAAGTGAAGCATTACTAAGCTAAACTACTTCTCTTAGCTTCAATTTGGCACCTAGCATTAACTATGTGCAAAACAGAAAAAAAATATTTGACACCTTAGCCTTAATGTTTTTACATACAGCTAGTCAGACATGATCCACTACGGAATTCTCCTAAATGATATAAATGTATGCAAAAAATTACTGAGGTTAACTGGTAGTCATATTTTTAGGCTTCAGTTAAAAACAGTGAGGAGTTGGTAAATATAATTTTCAAAGAGTTTAAACTAGGTACTATAGAAAAATCCAAAGTGAATCTGAAACACACATTAGCAATAACTGCAACTGAGTGCCAAAGGTTACTACTGGGCATCTGCCATTTATTTGAACCATTTATTCCCAGGGAAAGAAAAACCCATTCTGCAACAGCAGCTTGGGTGAGACTATGGAAAAGTGGAGATCAGTTCTTTTGGAGATTACAAACATTTAATAAAGGAAAAAAAGCAGATTAACACCCAGCTTCCAAAACCACAAAGAGTAAGTCATAATTTTTAATACAGGGAATTCCCTGGTGGTCCAGTGGTTAAGACTCCATGCTTTCCTGCCAAGGGCCTGCGTTCAATCCCAGGTCAGGGAGGGAAGAAAGAAAGGAAAGGAAGGAAAGAGAGAGAAAGAGAAAGAGAAAGAAAAGAAAGAAAGAAAGAAAGGAAGGAAGGCAGGCAGAAAGAAAGAGAGAGAAAGAAAGAAAGGAAGAAAGAAAGGAAGAAAGAAAAGAAAGAAAGAAAGAAAGAAAGAAAGAGAGGGAGAGAGAGAGAGAGAAAGAAAGAAAGAAAGAAAGAAAGAAAGAAAGAAAGAAAGAAAGAAAGAAAGAGAAAGAAAGAAAGAAAGAAAGAAAGAAAGAAAGAAAGAAAGAAAGAAAGAAAAATTTAATACAGAATCTAAACCAAAAACCTGGGACGTATAATCTAGAAGCTGTCATTATTTCTCAATACTTTCAGAAAAAAGAAAATATCGGGACTAGAAGAAGGAAAGAATCCCAAATCTAGGGATGAACTGAGGGATACTTAGCAAGGGTAGAATTCTTAACTAACTTTGGAATAAATTCTGAAATGTAACAAATATTTGTTGAATGAACAAAAGAAAAAAGAATGAAGTGAAGGAAGAAGAAACTCCCTTTCTATGAATAAAACTCATTAAAATAAAATCCAAAAAATAAAAATATAAAAAATAAAATCCACAAGGTTTAAAGTTCACTGTCAAATAATTTCTTCAGAAACAGATTCGTGCTTAAATCTTAAAATTTATTATCATCATTTTAAGGCAACTGTAGAAGAACTTCTTCTTTATTTTACATAGGACAGTTTACTTCCTGGGAAAAACCATGGCAAGCTTACCTGATGTAACGCATAACTGAGCAGCACTATAATATAGTAATATATAGGGAATCCCCCTTGATGTTCTACTTTAGGAGTCCACCAGACCAGTAGAGCATATTCTAATCCAAGCAATAATCTATAGAAAAAGAAAGAAAGGTGGAGCTGACCTCCATTTTAGGTTAAAAAACAATAACAAAAACAGAAATCTGTGTGCCTACCATATGAAAGAAGCCTGTATCTAAAACCTGTTAGGAAGTTAAAAAGAGATAAAAGTGCATATAAATGATACTGAAGTTAAAGATGTTTTTCAAGCCTTTTTCCATATACACTCTATACACAAATATTAGTGATACTGATGACCACTCCTCATTTAACCTCTCTTATTTAGTAAGGTTTCATTTCATTTTTACCTGTAGGGCATGGCTTTGTAAAATATGTTTAGTGGCTGGGGACCTGCAGTATATTTGCTGATAATCAGAGGCAATATTATTTGCAAAGGAACCATTGGAACTGCCAATAAGGCTAAATGTTCTTTGGGTACTCCCTCTTCTACCAATTTCAGTCCTGTTACTGCATCTGCTGCTGAAAAACCAATCTGCAATATAAAAACAAAAAAATATTTTAATTTGTGACTTATGAAATATTTTCCTCCAAGCATATGTAAGTAATTTAAGAACCTCAGTCTCATTATTGACCCATGCCAGTTACAAGTAAGTATCATATTATTATATCTGGTACAACAATCAAGTTACGGAGGCACACTTTGCCCTTATGGTCTACTAACAATATGAAGTAAAAACAAGTGAAAATTCAGCACTCTTAGGAACTGTAATTTTAATTACAACTACATTTCCATTTCAAAAAGTTCTATATCTTACAATAAACAGTGTCCAAGTCCAAACCTACTGATTTGTATATTTTAAGTTTAAAAGAAAAGCCTTTGACTCCAAATAAATCTGGTTAAAATGAAGTATCATTGCCACAAACCATACACATTTTTGATGATTTCTGACTGACAACAAAATTTCCAAAAAGTCATCTAGCTTTTCAAAAATAATTCTGAGAAAACATTATATCTAAGAGGTTGAGTTAAATGAGGGGTAAGAAAAGGTATAGTTAGATTAATTCTTAAAAACAGCAAAAACAAATAAGAATGCTAAAAGTAGTGGGTAAAAGTTTGAGGTGAAATGAGATATTTAGATAGTCTCAAAGTATTTCCCCACAAATTAGTTTTTAATTACAAAAGGAAAAATAATAACTGTGCAATGGATTAACAAGGTAATCAAGGTTAACAACAATAATTAATGGATAAAGGGACATGATATGGCTCCTGATATAATTCCCTGAAGATGTCACAGTATTATTTCTGTGATATTTCTGAAATAAATACACAGCACGAACTTAAACATGAAGAAACATTAGACAAACATAAATGGAAGGCCATTCTACAGAATAACTGGTCTGTCTTCTTTAAAAGTGTCCAGGTCACCACATACTACTATGTATAAGATAGATAACCAACAAGGACCTATTATATAGCACAGGGAACTCTACTCAATATTCTGTGATAACCTATATGAGAAAAGAATCTAAAAAAGAATAAATGTATTGTATATGTATAACTGAATCACTCTGCTGTACACCTGAAACAAACATTGTGAATCAACTATATGCCAATAAAATAATAAAATTTTTTTTTAAAAAGTGTCCAGGTCGTGAAGGACAAAGAAAGGCTCATACTAACTAAATGCAATGTGTGATCCTGAACTGGATCCCTGACTAGGAAAAAATAAAGTTATAAAGGCTGCTCTGGGGACAACTGGTGAAATCTGGATATGCACTGTGATTAGAAAATAGTACTATATCAATTGAAATTTCCTAATTTTTTATTAAGTTGTGGCTTTGTAAGAGAAAGTACTTGTTTTTAGGAGATACATACTTAAGATATTTATGGATAAAGGGACATGATATGTACAAACTACTCTCAAATACTTCATAAGAAATATGTAAAATAGCACAATTTACAGAATAAAGAAAGTGGAGCTAAATGTTAAAAATCACAGAATTTAGATAAACATATATGGACATTCTTTCAAGTATACAAGTAAATTTTCAGGAAGTGTGAAAATATACAAATAAAAAAAATTTTTTTAATGATAAATATTACTTTAAATACTTTTAAATACTTTAACTTCTCGGAATGGAGCCAAAGAGCAAATTTCACATAAAAAATTAAAGGTCAGAGATATTTCATTTAAGTCCAGGAAAGAATTTCACTTATACTTAACACATTCTCTTTGTAAACATTAGATATACAAACTGACTTTAACATTTACTCTGTCTTAAAAGTGGTACAGGAGACATTTGTAATACGCATATCTAATAAAAAACTCATATCCAGGATATATAAAAAATAAAACTTCTACAAATTTAATGAGAAGGGTAACTCTGGATATTCAAATGACCAATAATCATACGAGAAGATGCTCAACTTCTTTAGTGATCAGGGAAATGCAAATTATAACTATAATGAGATGCCACTACACACCCAACAGAAAGGCTAAAATTGAAAAGACAATACATGTGGTTTCAAGGCTGTGTAGTGATTAGAACTCCCTTACAGTGCTGGTGGTAGAGAAAATTGGAACAATGACTTTGGAAAACTGTTTGGCAGTATATACTATGCTTTTCTTAATGACCAGCAATTCTACTCCCAGGTATTTACCCATCAGAAATGTTCACCTATATTCCCCAAAAGTAATTTACATGAAAGTTCATAGAAGCACTATTAATAATAGTCCAAAAGTAGAAATAACCTAAACATTTGTTGATAGAATGGATAAATTGTGGCATATTCATACAATGGAATATTATAAGCAATGAGATGAACAAACTATTGCTATAAATAACAATATGGATAAATTATACAAATATGATGTTGAGTGAAAGAGTACAAGAGCTAGACATAAGAATACATACTGGATATTCCATTTATATAAAACTCAAAAGCAGGGAAAACTAATCTATGGTGTTAAAAGTTAGGAGAGATGTTATTTTTGGTGAGGTTTACGCTACAGGGGGAACATGGGATTCTAGACTCTGTATTTCAAGCAACTCTTTATACATTGCTGGTGACAGTATAATTTATTATTAAAATCTTTTAAAAAGCAATTTAACAATCATATTCACTGATCCATTAATTGCTCACTTAAGAATCTATTGGAAGGAAATATTCAGAACACCAAAGAGTTACACACAAAGATATTCACTAGTGCATTTTTATAATTAAAACACATGGCAAATTAAATATACAATAGAAAAATGAGTATATTATGGCAAATTTATATACTGTGACAATTTATAACTATTAAAATGTATATTATAAAATATTATTTAATGATACAGGAATATGGAATAAGACAATAACAAAATAAAAAATTATATACAGTATGATCCAATTCCACTTTTAAAGTATTTGTGTGTATATAAATATATTAATATTAATTCTTAATTATAATTAATGTATTAATTATATATGTCATTTATGTACACACATGTGCATGCACACACATACATACATAGGGGAAAAAAGGAGGCTGGAGGGAAATATACCAAAAATGTTACCAATGGTTATCTCTAAATGATATAATTAGATAATACTATTATCTTCCTTGAAACTTTTAGCATTTCTAAAGTTGACCCTTAAGTTTAAACCTTCCTAACATTTCCTAAAAATGTAACCCTCCTTATCCTTAGAGAGGAGGAAAAACTCAGTACTTCAAAACAATGAGGCTGTAATTTTTACTTTAGGGTTATCAAAAGATAGCTGTGAAAGTGTTTATATTGATAGGTTTAAATATAATATGAAAATCCTATAACTGATTTTATATTTTAGGATATTAATTCTAAATACTAGCAATAGTTCACTATAACAAAATATACTTACCTTTCTTCTAACATAATCTCTTTAAAATGTTTTAGAACTATAAAATTAAGACATCTTAATACAGAAAACATACAGAATTCTTAAAAAGTCACCAAAACCCCCCTTTATTTGATAGTATATTTCCTTCTAACATTTTAAAATAATCCAACTGATTTTTAAATGGACTTCTAATAATCATACATTTCCATATCTTTGTAAATTACATTCTAAGTAAATAATTTTAATACCTTTGACATTAGGTATATACTCATTCTAACAGTAGAGAGCTATTATTTTTTTAAGGTATTCATTTCCATTCCAAACATTAATATGATTCATTTAAAAACTCACATTTATTAGAAGTACTTCAAATTGGCATAATTTTTTTCAAGATCTTAAGACATTTAGCTTATTTTGAAGTTATGTTCGATTTGATATCATCACACCTTTTAAAACACATTTAGTAAACAAAGTATATTAGTTTTTATTGCTAAATTCTAATATTACTGGAAAGGAACTTACGAAAAGGCAACAGAAGTATTCCATGATATTGTTAATTGTAACAGAATGGGGAATTTACTTTATAAATCTCTTACCTTTGCAGTTAGAATCAGAAGGCAAAATGTCAGAACTGCAGGCATTTTTATAATTGCAAAAAGCAGCTTGTAAGTATCTGTGATCCCTTGGGTTTCTTCTTTTCCTACTGATACTTCTTTGTTTTCTTTTTTCAGAAGGGCAACTAAAGTTGTTGTTATCAAAAATACAGTTCCCCAGAAGAAAAGGAAGTCTGAAATTAAAAATGTTTTAAATCTATAATTAACCTTTGAAATAACATGTCTTCATTGATACTAAATGATTCTGTACACAACTTTTCCTCAACTAAAATCTGTTAAAAAAAAAAAATGAACACATAGGGCTTGTCATGTTCAAGGCACAAGATGAGGCACAGCAGATGAATAAGACAGTCATGCCTCTGTTAAACATACATTACAGAGACAGTGATACTTAACAAGGAAAGGGTTTAGTGGGTTGAATGAAATAAAAGTTACCAAACTGTGACACGCAGTGTCATTTTATTCAAGGAAACTGCTTAAGGGCAGGAGATGATTTTCATATCCCATAAGATCCATCTTAAGTCATACTTCTTAAGCACTTAAACCATTTCAGTTCTTTATTAAATTTTGACAACTTAAACAGCAAACAGATGATCATTTACATTTACATTAGATTTTCTGCCTTTTGTTTTTAAACTTTGTTTTTAATCTGTTTAAGAATAACCTTCTCGGGCTTCCCTGGTGGCGCAGTGGTTGAGAGTCCGCCTGCCGATGCAGGGGACGCGGGTTCGTGCCCCGGTCCGGGAGGATCCCACGTGCCGTGGAGCGGATGGGCCCGTGAGCCATGGCAGCTGAGCCTGCGCGTCCGCTCCGCAACGGGAGGGGCCACAGCAGTGAGGGGCCCGCGTACCGCAAAAAAAAAAAAAAAA